TCACACAGGAACAGTAACCAAAAAAAGAGAAAAGGGAAAAAGAAGAAGATAAAAACAAGAGAACCTGCAATATCTGGGGATAGGGCTCTAAGAGAAAATGGTAGAGAAGGAGAATAATGAAGAAAAAAATGGGAAAAATGCACAAAGAAAAACAAGGAATGGGGTTAACCATGAGAAAAAAGGTGGGAAAGAAAAAAATTAAATTAAAAAATTTTTTTTTTCAACCAGGAACAAGGAAAAGAAAAAAAGCTGAAAACTAGGACTGGGGAGGGAAAGACTAAAGACTAATAGTAAAAAGGACAAAAGTATTAATAATAATTATAGCTTTAAAACAGACAAATACAAGCAAACTAAACACTAGAAACAAGAAAGCGAAAAAGAAAAAATAATAACAAGGAAAAAAAAATCAGTGGAGGCCAAGGCAGGGCACCCCGGCTCTGTCTGAGCACACAGACTGGGATGGACTTCCTGTGGACCCAAAAGGTGGGTGGGAGTGGGGGATGGCTGCACCTCTGTTCACCAAGCAGGTGTGGGGTATAAGAGTAACAAGAGGAATGTCACACCTTCTCAGTTGTGCAGGTCCAGAGTGTCCTTGGGGTTGCTGGGGAGCAAAACATGTTCTTAAGCCCCTGAAATCTGCGAAAGCACTGTCTCTTTAAATATCCAAAATGATCGAGCCGCTTGTAAACATTCAAAATGGTGGCGCCCTCCGGACAGTCAAAAGTCCACAGCTCAGTCCGCCTTTCTCTTCGCCTTCTCCGTTTATTCCCCAGCCACCAGAGCAGTTCTCTGTGAAGTTCCTGGCTAGCAGGACTGATTTTTAGGTTAATTCTTAGGTCCTACCACCACTCGGCACTCTCCAAGCTGTCTATACCTTCGTATGTCTCCTTTTTTGTTAGTTTCATGCAAATTCTTCTGCTAATTGGTATTTAGTCCACTTCAAATCCTTCCCTTCAATGCTCAGGGGTGCAGGATTATTTTCTGTGTCTGTGTTAATTGGTTTCTCTTTTGTTTGTTGAAGAGGGTCTATGCAATCTTTATGCCTCGCCAGCCATATTACCGGAACTCTCGAGAATATTTTCAAAGATTTTTGAGTAAATATTAATTCAATATAACTTGAAATAGAATCTACTAAGATATGTTCTCACTGATGGTGGATATATTTACAAACCTTATGAGAAAGTAAGGTATTTAGAGCCTAGTTACTCTGTGTCTTATTTATCAGCAAGTACTCTTTGGAAAATATGTTAATCTATCAAGCTTTATTGAACCACAGTAATAATAATGAACTTCAGTCATTTTCATGGACTTAACCATTATCAGTTGCAAAATTTTTTTCAAAAATAGAAGCTAAATATCCTGATTCCACAACATAGCATTTTGATGATTTAGCAGTGCTAAAGTTTTATTGCCGTGATGCTACGATTTATCGGCATCATGTAAGCCATGATGCTATGATTTATCAGGATCACGTACGCTACAACATGACACTCTGTGCAGGGTAGTCCATCATGTCTGTGTAAACATGAACCTACACCAAGCCATGACACAACCTCAGCAAACCCAAGCTGTTAGTGGCTGCTGAGATGGCTCCAACTTACAGTGACCCCATGCTATGTGAAACTTTCTGGGCTATTTTTCCAACTTTTCTGTAATTTTTGAGCTCAGGATAAAGAATTAATTTTTTCTTAATGAGAAGAACCACTATCAAATCACCATTAGCAAGCTCAGAATGACTTTGTAATTACTTTTTGTGGCAGGTTTGGTAACATTTCTTAATGAATTTAACCTCTAATTAAAAGCCAAAACAGAGCTCATATGTAAATCTTCTACAGTGGTAAAAGTCCCTGGATGGTGTAATTGATTAATGTGTTTGGCTGCTAATCAAAAGACTGGAAGTTTGAGTCCACCCAGTGGCACCTCGGAAGATAGGCCAAGTGATCTACTTCTGAAAACTCAGCACTGAAAATCCTATGAAGCACAGTTCTACTGTCACACAGAAAGTCACCGTGAGTCAGAATTAACTTGATAGCAACTGGTTTGGTCTTATGGCAATAAAGTCATTTCATCAACAACTGAAATTGTTAGAACTACAAGTAATGTCAAGCTACTATACACACCCTTCCTGAGCTACTGAAAGTTAAAACAAGAAGTCAAACTTCCATTCCTACATACATTTGCAGCAAATATATTCCAAGCTTAAATTACAGTCGCAGCAGGGTTTTTCACCACAATACAAATGCAAAGTAAATTTCAGTATTTCAAAAGCATTTAACTGTGCAATTGAGGAGCTTCCACCTAACCTTCTACTGGAACTCATTATTTACAATGTAGTGGTATATTAAAAAGCAAATATCAAGAGATGAATCTAATAGAAAACTACACATGCCTTCTAAGTGATCAATGTGCTCAATTTAAATCACATGCCAATGGACTGATGCCAGTATTTAGCAATAGCTACCTAAATGAAAAGCTATTTTCAAAAATGAAATGCATAAAATCTCATTACAGATACACATTGACAGATAGATGAACATTTGCATTCAATTTTGATGATGGGGAACATTAACTTTAAACCCAGATTAAGTAAAAAGCTATCCTTCACCAAAAACAGAACTTCATTTTTCTTATTAATAGACCTTTCTCACAAAAAGTTTTAAGAAGATTTAACAAGTATCTCAAATTTATCATGCTGAAAACTACCTTAGTGATTTTTCCACCCATCTCTCAACAAAAACTGTTTATCTAACATTTCAGTAAATGTGAACTCCTACTGATCAGACAAAACACTTGAAGTCATCTTTGATCATCTTTTTATCTCACATTCATTATCTCATTCATCAGCAAAAACTGCTGATTGGCTTTAATTGTAAAACTACAATGAAATCTTTGAAAGCTAGAACTCAATGGGACTGCCATATTTTCCATGTCCTGCAAGTTTTCCACCTTTGACAGAGTGCAGTTTTACCACTTTTCTATCACTCTCTATTAATGGAAAATATTTTGAGTTTTCCTTCTCTAACAAGTTTGTGCCTTATAAAGGTTCCAGCATTCACAGGTTTTACTGTACATCCAAAAATCTAACCACTCCTCATCATATCTTCCACCATCCTGGATCAAGTATAATCAGTGTTCACCTACAGTAATATCATTCTTACTGGCCTCGTTATTTCCTCGTTTATCTGCCCCTTTAATCTAATCACAGCAATGACAGATGTACTTTTTAAAAAATTTTATTGCTATAAAATAGTTGTAACAAAACATTTGTATTTTCAGCCAATTTCATGTGTACAATTCAATGACATTAATAACATCCATGTTGTACAACAATCATCACTATTTCTAAATTTTTTCATCACCCTTAACAGAAACTCAGTGCCCATAAGCAGTAATACCTGTTTTCCATCTCTGACCCCTTTCTAGTAACCACTAATAAACTTTGTTCTTTATGCATATGCCTATTCATATGAGTGGAAACTATTTGTGTTTTCCTTCTTATATGTCATATAAATGGAATCACAATATTTGCCAATTTGTGTCAGACTAATTTTACTTAACATAATGCTTTCAAGGTTTACCCATGTTGTAGCATGTATCAGGACTTCATTTATATTTATGGCTGAATAATATTCCATTGCATGTAGTGGTTACCAGGGGTAGGAGGAAGGCAAAGGGAGTGGTTAATGGTGATGGAAACATTGTACTGATTAAGGTTAGGGTTGCACAGCCAATTATAGTGATTTGTGTCCATAAATTTTACACTTGTAAAAAAAATATTGCACTGAATGCATATATCATATTTTGTTTATCCACTCATGTGTTCATAGACACCTGGTTGTTTCCACTTTCTGCCTATTGCAAATAATGCTGCTGCAGTGAAAACTTATATACAAGTATCTGTTTAAATCTCTGGTTTCAATTCTTTTGGAATGAAATTTTAGGGTGATAAGGCAATTTTATGTTTAACTTTTTGAAGAAATGCCAAACTATTTTCCATAATGGCTATACCATTTTACAATACTATCAACAATGTGCAGAGTTCCAGTTTTTCCACATCCTCATCAACAGCTGTTTTTCTAATAGCAGCCATCCTAGTTAAGTGAAGTGGTTTCTCACTAATTTAATTTTGAGTTTTGATTGCACTTTTCCTAATGACTAATGCCTTTCACCATCTTTTCATCTGCTTATTGCCCATATGCTTATCTCCTTCAAATAAATGTCTATTAAAGTCCTTTGCCTATTTTTCATCGGGTTGCCTGTTTGTTGTTGCTTAAAATTATACGCTAAATATGTTGCTTCTCAACCAAAAATCCTCCAATGGCTGACCATACGACTCAGCATAAATTCTTATCAATGGACCACAAGAAATAACATGATCTGTTCTCCACTCTCTCAAACCACTTCTTAGACATGATCTCCTCCTACTCTTCCTCTGGCTCACTCAATTTTTTATCACCCTGTGCTATTTGTGTTTCTTCTAACTTGGTTTTCAATTCCATGACACAACCTTTTAACTTGTTCTTCCCTCGCCAAGAATGCTGTTTCCAAATAAATACACTACTCATTACCTCACATCCCTTAGGTCAAATGTCATCTTCTCACAGAGTCCAACCTTGACCACCTTATATAACTTAGCAACTACACTTTCACACTCTATCTTACCAATCTCTATCCCATTACATTGCACTAATTTTCCACAGTAGCATTTATCACCACTTGACACATTATATATTTAATCATTTGTTTATCACCCTACCCCATTAAAAGATAAGCTCCACAAAGGCAGATTATTTATGTGTTTTGTTCAGGACTCTACAGAGAGTCTTTTAACAGTGCCTAGATTACAGTACGTGCTCAATAAATACTTCCTGAATAAATGAACAAAAAAAATTAGCTTTTCTGTGAATGCTTCCTCAGTTCCTTTTCCTTATGTAAGAAAAAAAAATAAATTTTATATATATATATATAATTATTTATAGATAAATAGAGAGTTGATTTACCATTGCACTAAGTGTTTCTTCCCAATCAGGCCGCTCTCGAGGGTGAATGTTTCTATGCAGTTCTGGAACAAAATCATCTTCTTCTGAGTGTATTGAAGACTTCATCTTCCTAAAGAGCAAAATATGAGAGACTGTGATAAGAACTTTAGTTTCTACAAAAGTTTTCCAATGACCACAATCCGAAGAGCAGAAAAATTACATCAGATTTGAAATTTAGTCAAAAGAGCTAAAGAAGCTACTACTGATTCTCCATTTCTATTCTAACTTTCAGGGATCTTTCCTGATCTACCCAAAACCTGTTTTTATTCCAGGAAACACAAAAGAGTTATAACCTAGATGGCCCATGGGAAATTATTATAGAAGGACTGATTTTACATATTCAACACAATTTAAAACTTGAAAGAATATGCAGCAGCAATTATTTATTCTGCATCAATATTTATACAACTGTGCTAAGAAATAACAGAATTCCAGGATGAAGAAGAGACGTGACTTCTAGTTCCAAGCTATGCAGTACATTATATCAAAGCAGCCCTCTTGATGAGAGCAATTATAAAAGTTAGACAAGCAAATAAAACCACTTGTTTGAAGGTACAAGAAGAAAGCAACCAATTCAGGTAGGATTTCTGGAGCTATAATCTTTGAGCATAAAAAAATCACACAATGTGAATTCCACATTCAGTCATGCTTTCGAAAACTGATTTTCTAAATCACAGTGATGGGAAATAGAAATCAAGCATAGCACTATAGTCTAACTGGCTGAAGAATCAGATAAGGTTGCCAAAGCAGATGAGATTTCAGAGGGAAATATTCCTCCCCCAAAATAAAAACTATAAAGAAAGAGCCTAAAATTCTACACACAAATCTCTCTCAAAACATTAACTGATTCCTACGTTATAAGTAAGTAGGACAAGATGCCAAGACTCCCGCCCGAAACAGCTGCTGAAAAGCTAAACAGTCCAGTGCATATACTTCAGCATCCCAGCAGTACTGAAGAGACAGAGGTTAGCATGCAAGCTCCACCAAGACAGAGGAACAGTACAGGGGAAAACCAACTCCGAGTTCTCAACTGGCATGCAAGAAGGACCATGTCTTAGGAGTAAGGGAAAAATAGAAATAGACAAGCTCTAAGGAAACTAAAACCAAGCATTTCATCTTTGAAGGAAAGTAACATTTTTTAAAAGCCTCTGACATTTTTTTTCATCCACATTATCATCTAATAAAAATTATAAACCATGCTAATAACAACAGATAGGGAGCTCTGGTGGCGTAGTGCCTCAGGCACTTAACTGCTAACCAGAAGGTCGGTGGTTCAAACCCACCAGCCACTCCTCAGAAAGAAGATTAGGTAATCTACTTCCATAGTGATACTGCCTCAGAAACCCAAGGAGGGTCGCTATGAGTCAGAGATGACTTGATGACACATAACAACAATAACAACAGATGAATAACAATGGAGGAAAAAAATTGAAACAGAAAGAGACTCACTCAGATTTTATAATTATGAGAAAACGACTTTCTCATAATGATTTTGATGCATTTCTGCTTTCTGCTTACAAATGTAAAAAGCCATAAGGAACTTTTTTCCAACCTACCAACAAGAAAATAATCAGATAATCTACAAAATTAGAGTTTTTGAACCAATATTAAAACTGAGATCTCAAGGCAACCAACTTCCCTATTCTAAAAAAAGACATCTCCAAGAAAAGATAGATCCTAAACAATGACTGGGACAAAGCACAGGAAGAAAAGATACACACAAGCTGGTAAGAAGAGTTCAGTTAAATTTTTGAAAGTTGCGAAAAATATTAATGATTAATACCTTCAGTAAAATGAAAGCAAAATGAATGATAAGATGAATTTCAAGAATCATAATATGAAAAAGAATCAAATGTTCATTCTAAAATTGAAAAATGCAGTATCGGAAATTAAGAACCCACTAAATGGGCTTAATAGAAGGATAGAGATGCCAAAAGAGAGGACTAATGAACTGAAAGGTAAGTCAGTAGAAATTATCCATATTGAAGTACACAGAGGAAGAAGGGATAAAAATACACAAAAAAGGGTAAAAGATAAGGAACTTGGTTAAAAGATCTCAAATATGTCTAAATTTGAGACTCAGAGAAGGTTATTTTAAAAATGATGCCTGCAAAGTTTTCAAAATCGATGAAACATATCAAATTACAAATTGCATTAAGTTCTATAAATTCCAAGATTTATTTTAAAAATAAATCAACAAGGCACTTAGGTATATAGTCAAACTTTTAAAAACCAAACACTAAGAAATTCTTATAAGCAGCCAGAGCATAAAACATTACTTGACTTTAAAGGAGCAATAAGAAAAATGTGAGAGGGCATTTCAATGGATATGACAAGATAATGAATTGAATCTTGAGCATGCTAAATGAAAAAAATTGACAGCCTAGAATTCTCTACCTTACAAAATTATCCATTTAAAAAACTTGTGAAATTAAGTTATTTCCACAAAAAGCTGAAAGTATTTACTTACAATAAACCTTACATAAAAGAAAAATAAAAGAGTTCCTCAAGCCAAAAGAAAATTATCCCAGAACTACAGAAATGAACCCCACCCCGCCCCCCAAAAAAGGCAAAAGAAGGTAAAATACAAGTAAATATATACCATTTAAAAGCAAAAAATAATGTTTCATAGGAGCTCTGGTAGCGTAGTGCCTAAGGCACGTCACTGCTAACCAGAAGGCTGGTGGTTCAAGCCACCAACCACTCCTCAGAAGGAAGGTTGGGCAATCTACTTCCTTAGTGATACCACCTCAGAAACCCAAAGAGGGGTCGCTATGAGTCGGGTCCAACTCAACGGCACATAACAACAAGAAGAACAAGGTTTATAATATAAGGACATTTAAAAAGTATAAAAAAGTAGCAAGTGTACAGGGAGAGGTATAGAAGGCTACTTGTTGGGGTCCTCCATTGGTTCACACATGATTAAGGATACACGCTGCAATCTCTATGCCAGCCACTAAAAGAGTAATAAATAAATGTAACTAAAAAAGGTAACAGGAAAACAATTTTGAAAAATAAAACATACTTGATGAATCCAAAACAAAGCAGGAAAGAAAGAATAAAGGCACAAAGAATAAACAAAACAAATTAAAAATACATGTATCGAGATGGTAAACTTAAACCCAAGAATATTATTAAAATATTTTTGTTGTTGTTGCTGTTGTTGTTGTTTGCCATCGAGTCGGCCCCGACTCATAGCGACCCCTCCTTGGGTTTCCGAGGCAGTATCACTACGAAAGTAGGAATGCTCAACCTTCCTTCCGAGGAATGGCTGGTGGGTTTGAACCGCCAGCCTTCTGGTTAGCAGTCAAGTGCCTTAGCCACTATGTTACCAGAGCTCCTAAAATATTTTTAAGTGATTAAAATATTTTTAAGTGAACTAGTAGGTGAGGATCGGAAGGAAGGTTGGGCAATCCTACTTCCGTAGTGATACTGCCTCGGAAACCCAAGGAGGGGTCGCTATGAGTCGGGGCCGACTCAACGGCACATAACAACAACAACAACAACAAGTAGGTGAGGATGTAGATAAATTGGAACTCTCATACAGTTCTGGTGGGAAAGTAAACTAGTGCATCCCAGTGTGGAAAACAGTTTGATACTTTCTGAAAATGTTAATCAAGTTACCATGTGACCTGACCTAGCAATTCCACCCCAAGGTATTTAACCAAAAAATGAAAATAGTATGGCCACAAAAGCATGTACATAGATACTCTACTCATAGCACCATTAATTTTTAATAGCTAAAAAATAGAAACAACACAAATGCCTATAAACTGATAAAGGATAAAGAAAATATGCTAGACCCAAATGATATTGTTACTGTTTTTAGGTTCTGTCAACTCAGTTCTGACTTATAGTGACCCATAAAAAGAAATAAAATACTGATTCATACTACCACATGGCTAATCTTGAAAACATTATGCTGAGTTAAAGAAGCTTGACAGAAAAGACCACACATTGTATGATTACACTTATATGAAATATAAGATAGGCAAATCCATTGAGAAAGAAAGTAGATTATTAATAGTTGACTGGGGATTGGGAGAATGGTAATGGAGAGTAATTGCTAACCAATATGGGGCATAATTTCTAACCAGTATTGGGTTTCTTTTGGGGGATATGCAAATGTTATGGAATTAGACACTGGGGATGATTGCCCAACTTTGCAAATATGTTAAATGGCAATGAACTCTACATTTTAAATGGATGAATTTTGTGCTATGTAAATTACATCTCAATAAATGTAAATGGAATAAAAATTCCAATTAAAACACAAAGATCATAAGACTGGATTTAAAAAACAACAAATATATCATCAGAGATACACTTCAAATATAAGAACACAGAAATGGGAAAAAATATAGAATGAAAAAAATGACAGCATACAAACGTTAACCAAAAGAAAGCTAGCATAGCTATATACACATCAATCAAAGCAGACCTTAAGCAAAACATATTACTAGAGATAAAGTAGGGTATTTCATAAAGATAAAAATATTGATCCAACAGGTTGACAAAATAAATCTAAAATCTGTATGACACAACACAACACAAAATACATAATGCAAAAGTCAAAATTATTAGGAGAAACAGATAATCCACAATTATAGCTGGAAATTTCAACAAATACTTCTCAAAAATCGATGAAATAAGGAGACTGAAAAAAAAAATTACACATATATGGGAGATGTGAAAAATCTGATTTTCCAACTTGAATATAGAACATTAAAACCAACAAGTGCAGAACATAGTCTTTTCAAGTGCATAGGAAACATTTACCAAAAGAAACTATATTCTAGATCCTAAAGCAATTCTCAACAAATTTAAAGAATTTAAATCATGAACATCATGTTTTGTGACCACCACAAAATTATACTATAACTCAATTACTGAAAGATAACTAGAAATTCTCCCAAATGTTTTGAATTTAAGAAACACAATTTTTAATAACCATGGGTCAAGATACAGAATCACAATGGAAATAAGAAAATATTTTATCTGAATGATAATGAAACTATGACATTAAAATTTGTAGAATATAACTAAAGCAATATATAGAGTAAAATTTTC